CACTCTTCCAAGATAACTGGGTCTTCCTCACCCGCAAAGGTCGGTGGCCTGTGACCCGACACGAGACACCCCATGTCCCTGTGCCCGGCAGGCTGAGGAGGTGGCACGGGATGGTTGTTCTACAACAAGGCTTCACTAAGGGTCTACAACGTCTGCGTCAACTGCTGCAGGTTCTGGGCAAGCAGCTCATTCGTCGGGGTCTCCGGCGTACGCGCACGAGGACGATGAGGCATCGCAAGCTTCTACAACAACAACACGATTACCAACAAGACAACAAACAAGCAAACAACTATAAACAAAGCTCAGCTCACCGCGCAACCTAAGAAATCCTAAGCTTAAACACTTAGATTCCTATGGTCACCTTAAGGTCACAAACCACACTTATCCACTTAGAAGTCTAGACTTTATCAACCTAGGCTCAAAACCTAGGCTCTGATACCAACAGTAACACCCCCTAATTTCCATGCTAAATTAAGCCTTAGACATGCAGATAACTAGTCATAACATTAAACACAGCGGAAGACTAAACATGGAATATATGAATAGGAAATAAAGAGTGCTATGCCACGTCCACTCAAAGGTGAATGCACAGGCGAAACATCTGCATAAATCCACAATCTAAATCCGTTCAGAACAGGAGTACTAGTGTCTAACATTGGCACACAGGCCACAACATCTCAAAACAAAGGGATCTAAGCTAACAGGTACTAGACCGCGCTCTCGTCTACTCATCACCTGAAAGAAACACATAAAATAAGGGACGACGGCCGGTCAGCGAATGATGCTGGTAACCCACCAATACATGTAAAATATCATATGTAGATAGTTAATATATATACAAAATCATTTGCGAAACGGGATATAGTATATATCAATTTCAAAAGCCAAGATAGAGATCAACACAAGACTCTTTGCACTCACAAAAGATAAGGGAACACACCCCAATACGACAAGAAGCAATAACGACTCACAAGAACGGCTCACAGTATAATCTACCATCACACAGTAGATTAACACCCGACATGCATAACACAAGAGAATAAGAACACAACCATTGGCAACACATTGCCTTTGTGACTACACACGTCACAAAATAGAGAAATACACAACAACGGCTACACAAGCCTTCGTGACATCACCCATCACGAATTGAGATGCCTTCCTTATGCCCGGTTCCAACCTTATGGCTACCCCCAACCTTATGTCTAGTTCCAACCATTACCTCCAGGACCCCTGTACTTCTGAGCCCAACCTTTTCCCTCCTGGGACCGTTGTCCCCCACCAACAACCACCAACAAGACCACCGATTCATAGTACACAAGGTACCGATCACACACGCGGAAACACATGCCACCCAAGAAATACGTGAACCCATCACTCAGGTCACAAACTTCATAATCGCGTCATGGCCACCACGAGGACCACTACCGTACCTTGGTGACTAATGTCCCATACCATTAATCGTGCAATCCAAGTACAGCCACACACACCAAACCACAACAGGAATCAATCAACGGATCACAACGAAGATATGAAACCATACTCAATCAAGGAATGGATCACAGTACAACAACAACGACGAATAACACAAGTTATCATCAACGATAAGAAGGTACAAACAACACACACGCTAGCATTTAAACGCCGAACTAGCATGCTTATCAAACTGGTAAACCAAACATAGTTCTGAAGAACACACAAGACTCATCACGGTTCAACGAATCACAATGTTGAACACTTAGCACGATTCAAGGCACCAAAACCTACATGGAATCCTACCATATAGTTCTAGACATACGAAACATCAAGAAGACGCTCAAGTAGTTCCACAAAAGAACATCGGGAAGTCAAAAGACCAAATACCGAGTCAAAAGAATCACGGGGAACAAATCCCCGCACAACCAACATAGTGTACCCGCGGGTGGGGCCACGGGTGGACCCCTTCTCGTGGTTTCGCCCGTGGGAACCAATGTCCCACACCACTTGTACCCCGCGGGTGGGGCGGCGGGTGGACCCCTACCCGCCGTTCCGCCCGCGGGTACATGTCCTGTATCAAAATAATCCCTTCGGGGATTTTCAACTCCAAGCTCAAATTCAAGTCCATAACATGCCAAATCTCACCAAATAAAACAAAATGACATGAATCAAAGGAATGGCCAAGCAATGGGACACATGAACCCTAATAACAAGCCCTAGATATGCATTTTCACAAGACAATGCATCAACACTCACATTTTATAGCAAAACACATGTAGAATCCAAGAAATCATCATATAGGTAAGCAAAATAGATTTTGTAGAGCATGGGTTACCTCTTGAAGACTTATCCTTCACTTATAACACTCCACAAGGCTCCCAACAAGGTTCCCTTTCCACACCCACTTCAAGAACACACCAAAACAACATAAAGATTTCACCTTTATAAAAAGATACCTTAGAAAATACTAAAAGCACAAAAGGAGCTTAGATCTTACCCTCCTAGATGCTCAAAAGTATGAAAGGTAGAATCTTGAAAGCAAACTTGAAAGATCTTGGTAGCCCTAAGTGTGGCTTGGAGAGAAAACTAACTAGCTTTCAGAGAGAAGAGAGAGAGAGCTTATGATTTTTCTCTTGGAGAGTGTTTGAAGAAATGAAATGTATCTTCCTAGGTTAGCTTGGAAGACTATTGCCAAGGAAATGTCTCATTTACCCTTACTAAGATGAAATGTGTAAGGGAACAAGGGAACAACTCACAAAGCTTTAGGTACAACTTTTGACTTTGGGTTGACTAGTCAATTACTAGTCCCCGACTATTGAATTTTAAGGAATTTAAGGAATTAAATTCGCAATTGGGTTAGGATTAATTACTTAATTAATCTATTAATTGAATTTTGATTACGGGGTGTCACATCCACCATATCTTTTCTTATATTCTTTAATAACAACAATATTTGTAAGACATTATATATTCATTATATATTGGATTAATATAATAAATAAATTTTATTTCATTAAAATTTTAATTAGTAAAAATAATTTGTTAATTATTTTTGAAAATATAAATATTGGGCATATGATTTTGCGCATCGCACATAGAAAAGACTAGTTGTTATTATAAATGTTAATATATTCTAAACAAAGTAATAAAAATGTTTAATTATACAATTCTACTCATTTTTCAAAAAATGAACGATAGTCTCTGCCTAGTTTTCCTCACCTTTCAGATATCATGGAGGGTTCCCGTCCTTCCTCTTCTGTTGCCAACATCTCCATGGTAGATCTGGATGAGGACGAGGTCGTTCAGCAGATTGCGAATGTGTCACTGGCTCCGGCCAATGATGAACAAGAGTTCCTGGCGGTTGGTCGATTGGTCTCCGATAGAGCACCGAAGTTCACTTACTTTAGGGACACAATGGCGTCGGTATGGAGGCCGACGATGGGTATGAATGTACGGGAACTAGATGGCCACCGTTATCTTTTCCGCTTCTACCATGAAGGTGACATCGAACATATCATGGAGAATGGCCCTTGGGCGTTTGATCAAAGCCTCCTGATTCTCAAACGTATTTCCTTAGCGGAAGAGGCCACAGCGGTACAGTTGGACAAAGCAACCTTTTGGATTCAGATCCATAACTTACCTTCCGGGCTTCGTTCAGAGTCCATACTCGAAGCCATTGGCGGCTTCATTGGCAAACTAGACAAGTTGGATGAGAAAAATTTTGATGGGGGTTTACGTACGTTCTTCCGGGTTCGTGTCTGCATTGATGTAACAAAACCCCTCAAGAAAGGGATGAAGATCAAGAAGGATGATGGCATGTGGGCACCGATCAAGTTCAAATACGAACGCCTTCCGACGTTTTGTTTTGTGTGTGGTGTGCTTGGGCACGGTGATCGTTTCTGCCCTAAAGTGAAGCTGCGTCTGTTCGATCCAAAGCAAGAGAAACCTTTTGGAGCTAGTCTCCGTGCTGGGGGTAGAAGGAACCCTTCGTCAACCGAAACGAAGTGGATAGCGCCTGAAACATCGGTGGAGAGGAGGGGCTGGGCTTCGCCGGGGGTGCAGTCGACGGCGGAGACCACGGATGGAAACGATTCTCCTAAATCTGGTGGTTATTTACTTTCCTTATCCGGGAAAGGAAAGAACGTAATGCATGGGAATCCCGTCGTAATTCCAAATTCCTATAAGGAAACTGATAACCCCCTATTCTCAACAACTTCTGGCACGCGTATAGCAGCAACTGAACGCGGTGTAGTGGTGATGGATCCTAAACGACGTCGGGAAGAGATTAGTGAACATGATACTGATGATGAGTGCATGGATGTTGAGCAAGGCCTTTCAAAAAACTTGCAGTTGGCGGGTACTGGTGTTTCCTAGTCCCGCCCTTCATAATGAGTGTCCTTAGCTGGAACTACCGGGGGTTGGGGAGTCCCTGAACAGTTCGTGAGTTATTAGGCCTTGTGTCTAAAAAACGTCCCTATTTTGTGTTTTTAATGGATACAAAATCAAACAAGGAGAAGGTGGAGTTTGTTCGTACGAGAATTGGTTTTGACGGATGTTTCTGTGTAGAAAGTGTGGGCATTAGCGGGGATTTGGTTTTATTTTGGAGAGACAAGGAATGGGCAACACTGCTGGGCTACTCTTCAAATCATATAGATGTGCTTATAACTCTTCCCGGTAAACCTCAGTGGCGGCTAACATGCTTTTATGGCTATCCTCAGAGGTTTAGGAGACAACAATCATGGGACTTATTACGACATCTTAAGCATCAGGCAACTCTCCCATGGTGTGCAATTGGTGACTTTAACGACTTGGCTTGTCATACGGAGAAACGGGGTCCACATCCACATCCTGACTCTCTCATTCGGGGATTCAGAGCAGTGCTAGATGATTGCAATTTAAATGATTTGGGAATGGTAGGCAACTGATTTACATGGGATCGCGGGAGAGGAACAGAAGCTTGGGTTGAGGAAAGGCTTGATCGAGCCCTTGCTACTTTGGATTGGTCTGATATTTACAATGAGGCAATGGTTCACAATCTACTGGTACAATCATCGGATTATAGTGCTTTATTACTGGATCTTGAAGGACAGCCTAGAGGAACAGTGAGAAACAGATTTAGGTTCGAATCATGTTGGTTATACGAGGAGGTCTGTCGGCCACTGGTCGAAAATGCATGGATGAGATCAGTGGGCAGTGATTTCCAGCAGCGGATTCTGGAGTGTGGTAGGAGTTTGTTTAACTGGGGTGGTGACTATTATAACAAATTTGGACGTCGTATGCAACATTTACGCAATAGGCTAAAAATTTTGCGTGATAATAAGACCTTGCGGCTGTTAATGAATACCTCTCTACGCAACATGAGCTAACTGTTTTATCATCCCAGGAGGAGTTATATTGGCAACAACGGGCAAAACAATTATGGCTAAAAGAGGGGGATAGTAATATGAATTATTTTCACAAATCTGCCTATGCACGGAAACGAAGTAATTATCTCAAGCGTATCAAGAATGCAGATGATGATTGGGTGGAAGGGCCTAGCATGAAAGCGGTAATCTTGGAGTATTACTATGACATCTTCAAAACCGCTTCAACCTCTGTCAACTTTTTGCATCATGTGCAGAAGTGTGTAACGGACGATATGAATTCTTGACTGCTCCGTCCCTTTACACATGAAGAAGTGAAAGAGGCTCTTTTTCAAATGGTGCCTGAGAAAGCCCCGCCGGGGGCTTGACGGTATGACGCCTGCGTTCTATCAAAGGTTTTGGCCTGTGGTTGGCCACGACCTGTGCTGCTTCGTGTTGGATTGCTTGAACAGGCGCTGCATTCCGGAAGGGCTTAATAATACAACCATTGTTCTCATCCCAAAGAAGAAAGTACCAGAAAACGTGGGAGACCTACGGCCGATCGCTTTATGTAATGTAGCCTATAAGGTCTTAGCCAAAGTGTTAGCCAACCGGCTAAAAGAGGTATTAGAGGGGGTAATATCTCCGACCCAGAATGCTTTTATCAAGGACCGTTTGCTATCAGATAATATCTTATTAGCCGGGGAGATAGGTCATTACCTACGAAGGACGCATCAAGGAACGGTGGGTTGGGCAACCTTGAAACTTGATATGGCTAAAGCATATGATCGCATGGAGTGGAGTTTTTTAGAGGCAATGCTTGGAGGTTTGGGGTTTGATCCTGCATGGGTTCAGCTATTATTAATGTGTGTGACGACCATCAGTTACAATATCACTGTAAATGACGAACCAGCAGGTAATGTTGTACCTACGAGGGGTATTCGCCAAGGAGACCCCTTGTCACCTTATTTGTTCATCATCTATGCTGAAGGTCTGTCTACTCTTCTCAATCGGGCAGAATCGTGCGGTGATATGCATGGTATTAAGATATCCAGGAACGCGCCTTCTATTAATCACTTGTTGTTTGCCGATGATTGCCTTCTGTTTTTCAGAGCATGTCCACGTGAAATGGAAGTGGTGAAAGACAGACTGGATGACTATTGCGTAGCATCCGGGCAGAGAATTAATTTTGATAAATCTAATATCATGTTTAGTGCCAGTACACCAACCAACATGCGGGATTTTATTGCTGAGTATCTTGATGTGCGCCAAACAGATGATCTGGGTAAATATTTGGGACTCCCTTCTTTCTTGGGCCGTAACAAAAAGGTTACTCTTAGTTTTGTTGAACAAAAGTTGAGAGACCGTTTAAGTTCATGGCGAAATAAATTCATTTCTAAAGCAGGAAAAGAGATACTGCTCAAGAGCATTGGCCAAGCCCTACCAATCTTTACTATGTCGGCTTATTTGCTTCCTTTGAGCATATGTGAAAGTTTAGAGAGGCTTATGAACCGCTTTTGGTGGGAGAATAATGGCACAACTGGTAGAGGAATTTCTTGGCTTAGCTAGTCTCGTCTATGTACTCCCAACCAGAATGGTGGAATGGGTTTCAAGAGAATTCATGAGTTTAATTTAGCCCTTCTAGCTAAGCAGGGATGGCGTCTGATGACCTGCCCGGGATCTCTGGTTACCAAAGTCATAAAGGCTCGGTACTACCCCCACTCTGATTTCTTGGAGGCGGAGTTGGGCAACAACCCGAGCTATCTATGGAGGTCAATTTTAGCTGCAAAAAGTGTTCTTCGGGAAGGAATGGCAAAGTGTATTGGTAATGGTCGAAACACAAAGGTGTGGGGTGCTCCTTGGCTGTTGGACAAATCCAATTCGACGCTGAATACGCCGATTGTGGATGAACTAAGGGACGCGCCGGTATCTGGTTTACTCACAGCCAATGGTGAATGGGATACTGAGGTGCTACAAGACATCTTCGTTGCGCAAGACATCCCTAGAATCCTTGCAACACCTGTTTCGGTGGATTATGAGGATGAGTGGTATTGGAAGGATGATATCAACGGAAGGTACACTGTGAGCCATGGCTATCGCTCCTTGATGGCAAATAGGGAAACCCCAGAATCTCATCTTGAGTTCACAGAATGGAAGTTGTTATGGAAACTGCCAGTGCCTCCTAAGGTTAAAAATTTCCTTTGGAGATTTTTGAGGAAGGTGTTGCCTGTTCGAGAAAATTTGAATTCCAAACATGTTTATGCGGGAGGAGGCTGCTCTTTTTGCGCATATGAGTATGAAACCATCGAACATCATTTCTGCGAGTGCCAGGCAATCAGCCCGTTGTGGGGTGGTAGTGGTCTAGACGGAGCTGTGAACTTGTATTATTTTATGAATGTTGCTGTTGTTACATTTCCAATCGCAGAGAGGATCAAGGTGGCAGCACGACTGTGGGTTATTTGGAATTCACGTAATGAAGCCGTGTGGAGAGACAATATGGCGTCCTTGACATCCATGCAGAGCCATATCCATTCATCTACTGCTCTTTGGTTGCAGACTTACGTGCAGGGGGGAAACACATCCACACAATCTCCTCCCGTGTCTAATCATACACCTGGTTGGAGTCCCCCGTCGGTAAATTTCATAAAATGTAATGTTGATGCAGCCATTTTTGCTGATGGAGCGGGTTTTGGCGGTGGTACGAGACGAAGAGGGTAGGTTCGTGGCTGCTTGTAGTGCGAGGTTAAACTGCCAAGATGACCCTTTCATGGCGGAAACAGTGGCGGTGAAGGAAGCCCTGAAATGGTTGAAGACTAATCATTTTAATAATGTTATTCTTGAATCTGATTGCTTAAATTTTTGTTCGGCTTTTAATTCATGTAATTTCAACCTTTCCTATGTTGGTTTGATTGTAAAGCAATGCCGTGTGCTTGCTTCAGACATTGGGAACCTTCGTGTTCGCCATGTGAATAGGTCAGCGAATCATATAGCTCATGTCTTAGCACAGGCTTCTGATTCTTTGTCTGCCTTAGGTTCGTGGTTTACGGTGCCACCAGCCTGTATCTCATTCCTTTTTGATGTTTAATGAAATTCATCTTTTCCTTTCAAAAAGTATTATTGAGTTTCCTTTTTCGATCTGGAAAACCATATTTTCAATATAATAACAAAAGATTTAGAAAACATTTTTTTTCCATATTTTTTCAAATACAAAACTACACATAAAATTATCTATAATTGTTATTATTAGTACCTACAAACTTCAACTTCACTTATTTATCAATTCATATCTTTTAGATACCCAACTATCTGTCTATATACCTCTATCACCATCTACCTATTTATATACCTCTATCACCACTTACCTAGCATGTCACCACCCCTATTTATTTATCTTCCCATCACCACCATCATTCATATTATCTACATATCCACTACTATGACTACATATAATACTAGAGATGACAATTTGAATGTACTTGTCTTTTTAGTCATTTTCAAATGTGAACTTGAATATATTTATAACTACCTTAATACAAAAAATAATATACCCTCTCCAAAGTTGATGATTGATACTATGCATATAGTACTCAAAAGCATCCTGAAACCTACACACACAATTGGATATACGAATTTCACTATAACCCAAGCCTACTTCAAAATCGGCTATCAAATATTCAAACATGTCCCTATTAGGATTCAGGAGATTAGAAGCCGATTAATATTTTATCCATTGATAATATTAATATCGTTCGAACTAAAACTCAAAAAATAGCACTTAAAATTTTGTATATTCGAAATAAAATTTAGATATAACCAAGTCGATCCAGTGCGCACACATGACCACACTACTCGATATTATTGTCACCTACCACTAGCATTATTTGTAGGTTTAAATAAAGAAAAACAATCAATAAACAAAATGTTTAAATAACTTCATATTTTCTCATTTGAAAAATAATATGAAAAATAAATGTTAATAATGGAAAAATTAAAAATAAGAAAATTGTTGGATTTAGGTCTTATGGACAAAATTCAGCTAGAACCCCGGCCCACTCGACCACCATATAGTAAAATAAGTATGTAGTTAATTATAAAATTTTCTATACCTTTTGTTAATTTTTTACTATTTTTAGTTATAACCTAATATTAAGTTTATTTAAAAAAAAATTAATAATTTCGTTATTTTATTTGAATATTTCTTTTATTTTATGTTTTAATATAACTTGTGAATTTTATTATTTTATTATGTGTAAGTAATTTAAATATTATTTTTAATTCTTTTTAATAAAATAATAAGCGGGCGATGGATACTCGTAGTGGACACCCTCACCCGATGTGATGGGGTGAGTTTTGAAAAAGTTCACTTGATGCAGGTTGGAGGTGAAGGATGAGTGGAGAAAGTATAAGGTAGATGGAGTAGTAGTGGACGTAATTCTCTTTGACCCACACCCACCCATTGTCATTCTTAATAAAAATAAAATGTTCCAAAGTGAAAGATAATATACTCAATGCTCATAAGCATTCATTAAATAACTGAACAATATTATTTCAAGGATTTTATGCAACAAGCATACTTAGTTGCATGATAACCAAAGTTTTGGGTTACAAAGGACTACATAAAAGTATATAATTAGAAAAACAAAAAAACTGTAATTATAATTGACGGCAAAACGCACGAATTGCAAGATGTTTCTTCATCTCAAGAGAGAGTTTTAAACATTCTGAGAGATCAACTGACGGGCCCGGAAGCCACTTGAAGTGTTGCAGAAATCGGGCCAGCCACAAGTGAACTGTGGACAAGCCCAAAGCCCGTCCAGGGCACACCCGGCGACCCGATCCAAAAGGCGCAAGCCTAAGGTCGGAACCCATGATTGAAACCTCCTCCTCCATGAACCTCTCGGGCCGGAAGGTCCATGGGTCGTTCCAAATTTTGGGGTCATGAGTGATAGCCCACATGTTGACCATAGCAGTTGTCCCAGCTGGGATGAAGCACTTGTCCACATAGACATCATGGACCGCAAGTCGAGCCCAAGAGAGTAATGGGCCGGGCGGGTGCAACCGAAGCACCTCTTTTACAATGGCTTGTAAATAGGGAAGGTTAGGTATGTCTGAGTCTTGCACGTGCCTACTGGGACCCACACAAGTGTCAATTTCTAGTTGTGCTTTTGCTTGAACATCCTGGTGTAAAACCATCCTAGCCATGATCCATTCCACAAGTATTGCAACTGTATCTGTTCCTCTAAATATCATCTCCTACATAAACAATTAACAAAAATTATCACAACTTATATATATATATATATATATA